CCCCCCCCCCCCCCCCCCAGATAATGTACATCGCGGGACGCGTGTTGAAGGGACGTAACTACCTTGGGCGAGGATACAGATAACTAACTCTGATGTTGATGAACGACTGCCGAGATGGCTCCAGCGTTCTTTGTCAACTCTTGTGTGCTTTCCTCGTTTTCATCTGGTTTTTTGTCCTGCTTCCACATAGTGTTTGCTGGTTCCTTTTGGGAAAAGCGAGCTGTATCTTGCAAAGTGGTCGAGTACTTGCTGTCAAGTTTCGTTCGTGGTCGGACCGTGCGACAAGACATCATGTATTGTCCTGGCTTGTTGACCGTCTCTCTGTGTGCAGATCACCGGAACCATCACGGGCAGTGACACGCGTCCAGACCGAACTTTAAGCAGGAGCCTTTCGGTCATGGGCATGCAGGTGCGTCATATACGTGTGGGCGTTCTGAATCCTGAGCATCAACCGTGCGAAGCTTCTACTCCAAGAACTGCGTACCTTTTTTTTTTGCGCCATGATTTAGTGTTGGCGGCTGAGCTCTCTGCAGGCCGGGAAACCGATTCAATGCCGGCATCTGTCTTTACGAACTAGGTAGTTTTTCTAACGGCTGTGCATGTTTGATGAACGTCACCTGTACCGTAAACGTCCCTAAGTAGTAGATTGCGCATCAGCGGTGGCGAAAGGCTTCCGCCGATGGGAGTGGGCAGGTGGTGGAGTAGCTTGGCCTAATGTAGCACCGGAGGGGTTGATCAGGCGAAGCTGCGCTGCCGCAACCGGTGCTGTGTTGGGAACGAAGGCCCGCAAATCACCAGCATCAGGGTGTTCCTCTTCTAGGACGCCCCAGTTTGGTGTTTCCTCTTCCGATAGGCTAAGGAGGGTGTGTCCAAGGCGCCCAGCGAAGCGTCTCGTGCTACTCCTCACTACCTACGTTGTCCATTCAACAAGATACAACCGCCGCTGTATTAATATGGTATACAAGGCGTCCCTCCCGAGTGGGGTAAAGAGAAAACCGCGGCAGGGGGTGGTACAAGAGCATGCAAAAGCAAACGCAGATACAGATTATTGAGTACGCACTGTTCGTTCCTTCCACACCCCGCATTTGCCGTTTTTCTGATGCTGCTTCTCCCACCGCCGCGGATTCCAGGCCGCCCAACGACTTGAAAAATATCAGAACCGTATTGTCGCCCAGGAAACGCAAGCACACACCCTCGCCACGGGCGGGTGGAGAAGCGTTGTATTCGTGCGTTAAGCATGCAAACAGTATGTTGAAGGGCAGTGACGGTAGCATCATGGTGTGTGTCGCACATTCCGGAAAAAAGATGAGGCCACATGGATGTGGATGTATTTTTTGTAAAGGCGGGACAGACCGAATGAATCCACAGGCAGGAGCAGCACGCGCGCGTGTGCGTGCTTTTTCAAACATTCAACGACGGGTGGATACACGTAAACAGACACATATGTANCATCCTGCTAAGGGTGTTCGGCATCTTGTGCTTACTTCCTTGCGTACGGATGACAGCTGCGTATGAATTAATTTACTTTCTGGTGCTTTCACTTCCAGAGACACTTGTAAGCACTGTGTAACTGCCTCGAGGGTGCTTGACCATTTCAACACAACGTGGTGCGATCATCCCCCTTGCGCGGAGTGAGGGTTCTCCACCCCGCACAACATGATCTACTCGACCACCATTCTGCCATGACGGGGGGAAAAAAAATTCAAATAGACGGGTGGTGAACGGAAAAAGATAGGTCGAAACGAACTCACGTCCGTAGCGACCTGGGTGCAGACTATTTTGTCGTCACTATTTGTTCTACGTTCATTAAACGTCGTTTTATGTTCGGTCCAACGTCCCGACTTTGTGCAAGCTGTGCTGCTGCGGGTCGGGGGTGCTTGTTAGGTACAGTATGTACCACAGCGTTTGTTTGCCTGTGCCTCAGGAAGGGTGAGAGCCAGGGAGGAAGTGAAATGTTGCAATATGAGCAGCCAAGACCCGAACAAGGGAATACAACAGCAGCAGCAGCACAGCGGCACAGAGGTTGGGAATCGATGACAGCAGTAGAAATGAGAAAACCAACAAACAGGCGGCGGGTGTTGTTCTGAGTTGAAGAGAGGGCAAATGGGACCGACCGACAGACAGCTAACCTCTCACCATCAATCAGCCGCGCTTCGAGCCACAACGACGTCCCTCCTCTTAGATTGCTACAGTACTTGAATGGCCTACCTGCTTTCCTACGCGGTTCAGGCCTTTCTCGCGGGCGGGCGTGTTTGTTATATTCCTCCAGCGTGCGCGACCACGAGTGCAGACGTGTATGTTTTCGAAACTGCTGCAACTCGGAGACCTGTGACAAGCAAGGTGTTCTTCGTTGTTCGACCCGCAACTGCTGTGCTAGAAAGAAAGAAAATAATGTTACAGCTGCTTCAACGAACATGAAAGACCCTCCAAGTCGAACAGCCGCCTGGAACCAGAAGGGAAAATAACACCCGAACAGCCTCCTCTGCCTACGACCAGGCAACACAAATGTGTAACTGTACATTCGCATTTCATGCTTTCACGGTATGTAGGGAAGCAATAATTGTAAGACAGCAGACGACATCATATTGTTTTTTTCTGTTTTTTGCAGAAGACGACGGTCACCTCCGCACACATTCTCGCCACAGGGAGAGAAAGATCAGAAGAGACCAGATGATTGTTCTCTCCTTCTGACGAAAGACAATAGTCACATTCGAACACATACATGACCGGACACGGACACATGGAGAAATGTCGCAAGAGACTTAATTTTTATTTTTCTCGCGTCACATCGACATGCCCGGGACACAGGGAGAAGGGGTGGTCGACCACCGCGTGCGAGTGGTCAAGACTCACTACCCGGAGAGGCCGGGTTTTAGAGCATTCGAGGCCGACAAGGCCGTCCTTCTCGTCCGTAACCCGTTCGACGCCATCGACTCGTACTTCAACATGGCCCTCACCAACACGCACGACCGGAGGTGATATGGATGGATGCCGATCCTCTTTCTCGATTTTATTTGCTTTGTGTGCCGTATGTACTAATATACTACGTGCTGTTGCTCAAGACCGCCGTCCTTGCAAGTTACAAACTTTACTGGGTGTTTGGTAGGTTGCTTGTATCTTTCACCGCGCGAGGGAGCTGTACAGATCGGTGGTATTCTTCCCTAGGCAGTTGCTGCTCGGTTGTCAGTTTTCTTCTGGTGTCATGGCACTGGACCGTCTCTTTCTCTGAACCTTCCCACCACGCCGCTTCTCCCTCTCTGCCGAATGCCGCCCTTCTGGAAATTCGTCCTGTTGTGACCTCTCTCGCTCACTTTTGTTTGTTTTTTTATTTCTCCGGCTTACTTCTTTCGCTGAGAAAAAGCCTGCACGACGCGGTGTACGAGGAGTTCCAAGAGTTTTGGGACGGCATGATTCGGAACGAAATGAAGGTAACGAATCCACGTGGCGAGGAAGAAAGCGTGCGAAATGTCGGGTGCTAATGGTCAAGGGATGTGGTCCGCGTACCGAAGGCACGGATACGCCCGGAGAGAGAAAGATTAGGACAAGACATTGATGCAACATTGCTGGTGTTGGAAATTCCCACAGGCAGCAGCGACGAAAACGTTTGCTCCACGAAACCAGTGGAATGAGAGGGGTAGGATACGCAACCACCTTGACTTTGCGGGAAGCGCAATCCGCACATGACATACACTCAGAGAGTGCCCTCAAATGCCGGTGGTGTCTCCATGTGGAGTTTGTGAGAAGTGTAGTCGATTCTCCCGAATTCGATGCGCAGTGAATAGTGAATGTTGAGCCAAGCAGGAGCTGCGTACGGATCCCCCTTGCGGTCGCCGTCTAGGCTATGATGTTCACATAATGACAACGGGCGCAAGCATCAATGGTGCCCCGCCCGTCCGCCGTAGAGTGAAATCGAAATCAACCAGTCACCCCTCTCAAATGTCCGAGGTAGTCGGTGGGTACGCCGTCGGTCGGGGTCCAGAATGTTGGAGGCCCCATGTGAGAGGGAGAGGGAACGGATGCGGCAGCCTTCACACCTGGCGTGTCAAGCACTCATTGCAAACTCCGACGCCGAGAGCAAGAAGACCGCCGAGTCTCGTTGCTGCGACCACTCCGAAGCTATTCATGCACGGCAAACGAATTGGGTCTGCGTGACCTGCCCTGGATCGGAGCTCCACAGAAAAGACACGGTATCTTGCGATATGTCATGGATAGTGCCAGCGATGGCTGCAGATGAGGTTATTCGATTCACGAACAACTCCAAGTCTTTCGTGGCGGGCGGGATTGGGTGCGCAACGCCGATCGGCGTGCGAGTATAGCGTTGCTTCTCCATGGGACACAGCAGCCAGTACTGGTACTTTGCCGGTGCGGTTTCCTGCAAATGGTTCATAGACGAGCCACCTTCACTTTTTCACTCGTTTGTCGCTCACCTGCGATTTTTTTTCCTCTGTTTATTTTCGTTCACACGAGTGGCGGCCGAAGGTGTGGGAGCGGTTTAACACGTACTGGCTGTCGAGGCGGGTGCCGGTGCACGTCGTACGCTACGAGGACCTGCTTTCGGACCCCGAGGCGACACTCTTAGGTCTCGTGGCCTTCATTCACGTGAGACCTAACCCCCGTCCCCTGTGCCCGGGGCCAATCGGATCTATCCTATACATGAAACCCTAGGTCTATCAACCAAGCCAACCGGCTTGCCGATGAAAAAAATGATCGCTTGGATACAATGCAATACATGATTTTTGGTTCTCTGTTTGCGCGAACAACGCAAGCCATGTGTATTCACCCCTCACACCGCTATCGACAAACTTGCCGCGTGTACATAAACCACGCTCCGTTTGTTCCCTCCCGCTTCTCCGCCCCACTTAATGAACAGAAGCAGGGCAACTTTCTCGCAGCAGCCAGTGGTCCTCACGATTCACTCTATTTGTAATGAAAATCAGCGGGAAGGCCCACGGCGAAGAGGCATCAAAATCCACACTTTTTGCCATGCCCGAACATCATTAGCAACAACAACGACCGCCGCAGGACGTACGTGCAACACGCACATGACCACTCCCAGAGTTTCTTCCCCTCCTCCCACATATAAACCATCAACAATTAACTTAAAGGTTTTTGAATGATTTAATTGAAAATCAACCACCATCACCACCACAACAACAATCGCAGGATATGTCCGGGACAGAAGCAGCCGAGAGGTACGGCGACCGAATACGCGGCGCTCCGGCCGTAGTGAATGCGGGCCGCAGGCGAAGCAGCAAGAGCGGAGAGGAGCCACGTTGCACCGTTGCTGCTGCGTTAGAGGGGACGGGGGTTGTTCCCCCCCAGGGGGTCGGTCGCACAGGCGGTGGCGGTTGTGGGTCGATGAACAACAACGACGACGACGACCCGATCTCAGCGACGCCGAGGATGGGCGACACAGCAACGTGCGACAAAGATAGCACGCCGGAGGTGGAAGAGAGGAGCCGTGGTCGTGAAGCAGCAGCAGCCGCCAATACCAGCGGCGGCGAGGCAGCGACCGGCGCTGCCGGCCGAAGCGGTCTGTACCGGCCGAGGACGTCGGGGAGGGGTGTTGGGGGTAGTCTCAGGAGGCGTTATAGCCAAGAGCAGGTGCGTGAGTGCGCCGGCAGCGGCAGAGACGTGAGTTGTGGCGCCCCCCTCCCCGTGGGGGTGGCCGTCTGTTTTTGGTCCCTCTTCGACCAGATGAGGGTGGTCGCCCCTGGTATTCTCTATTCTCCGCCGCCGCTGTTCATCGTATGCGAGGGAGGTACTGGGTTCGTTATACCTATTTGCACTGAACTCGTTCCACTCTGCCGCTAACCCCTGCTGATCGACAATACCAAACCCAATGCGCTGAAGTCGCTTCATGTCCGCCGCAAGGTAGTATTTTGTGTGTTTTTTTCATGTCGATCGTGTGTGACCACGGGTTGGAGTAAACGGCACAAGTACTGTGAGCTCTGATTCGAAGTGAAGATATGAATATTATTACAATCATGTGCCGACCCGAAGAAACAATCCACTGGTTAGAGCTGCTCTTGCGTCAAACCTTCTACCAATCTGGCAACCCTCGTTCGCTGCTATCGCAGCAGAGGGATGGACTACTGTCCTCCCTTCTCGTGGGGTCACTGCTTAGCGTTGTGGAGCGGTTTGAAGGGACATTGAACCATGCACGACGTATTGAGGCAGGCAGTTTATATATTCCCCGGCTTGTGTTGGCTCTCCAGGTGGCGTGGTGTGTTTTAGAGACGGGCGCCTTCTTGCGTCAGTTCGGCTATGACCCCGCTTCTCAGGTAAAGTCTATCTATCCCAGGCACAAGCCAATTTGTCACTGCTGGGCGAACCAGCAGAATTTCGACCTAGCACACGACCCACTGCGCCTTCTCTCACTTGGGTCAAATTGGGACCGAGACTCCCTGGATGCCAGAATGAGTTTAGAATGAACGAAAGAGCGCGACCAATGTGACGTCCGTGCATTCTTGTCTTGTCAAAAACAAGCGTTTGCAGGGGTCGTGGTGGAGTCGCACACGAAGGTGGCGACGCGCGGAAGTTGTTGTGCGACCTGTCGTAATTAGATAGTTTTCAGTGGTGCTGGTGACACCGCCAGTCGCACGATGTCTGATACCACGTTCCTCGCTCCCTTAGATATGATAATGTCGTCGCTGTGGGGAGGTTCACGTAAGCTTGAGAAGAGAGCGACGATGGGGGGAATAATATAAGGGTTTGTCAGTGTGTTCCAACGTCCTGGTTTCGGTATCTGGCGCCCTTGCCGCAGTATTGACGTTTTCTTGGCCATCTGTTGTCATCTGCTGTTACCTTCCAACTCCAGGGGTTTCCTCCCGCCGTGAGCTACCGTTCTCTACAGCTGGACCGTCTTCAATGTCTGCATGTTCGCGATGGCTCCGACACAAGCCGCGGCAGCAGCAGTGCTGCCCTTCGCTCCACCTCCGGAATCGTGAACGGCGTCGATAGGAATGGAGTAACGGAATGTCCGCCGGGGGCGAACGAGGTACAGTAGGTGTTTCCGTCACTGCTAGAGAGTGAATCGGTTTCGGAGGACTTGTTTTCTGGTGTGGTGTTGTTAGTATTGTTGGCGTTGTTGGCGTTCGTTGTTGGCCCTGTTGTCGTTTGCTTTTGTTCTTTTTCGCTGCTGTTGTCCCCTGTTTCATTCGCTCGCCGCCAAATTCTTCCCCGACATCGTCGGTGGAGCGAGCTCAACGAGCACGACAGGGTCCCCCCACGACAACGCGACTCCAATCGGGCTGTTTCACACCGTCGTAGACTCTGAAAAGGCGACTGCTTATGCATACGTGCTGCACGTTGTGTCTGCACGCGGCCTAGCCAAGGCGAGCTTGCGTGTATTTACCAAAAACGTTCGTTTATTGAAGCGCGTTCTACGCAGTAGGTTTCATGCCTTGTCGCCTTTCCTATCGACGAAATAGTACAACAGGTTAGAACACACGCTTAATCATATATACACGCGTGACTTTCTGAAAGATTCTGCTTATAAATTTTCAAGCGTTGCCGACGAATAAAACATAGCAGGTGATTTCGGCGGTTCGACCCGGAACATCTACTTCCACCTTAACCGTCAACGCAAAGACACGATCTTCCGCGGACGGGGCGGCGGCGGCGACGGTGAGGGACAAGAGCGACCGCTACTGCAGGGCGATGACCCCGTTCCGAAGGTCCCACACACAGCGAGACACCCAGCCGCTTCCGCTGGAGGGAGAGGACGCCAAGGCCGAGGAGTGGCGCAGAAGACGGCGGGCGGAGAAAGAGGCCAAGCTCCGCGATGCCAGTGGTTCGCTGGTACCGTAGATGTGTTGGCATGGGTTTGATTCTTACCATCGGCCGCGCTAACCAGCTTACTTACCAACGCAAAGAGGAGAGTCTCAGTGCGTTGTAGGACAGAAAATGCTTCCATAGGCTATGATCTGGGACCGCGTGAGCGGGCGTCATGGGGGAGGCTACGTGTGCGTGTGTGCGTCTGAATCATAATATAGCATCGACCGCGCCCACCTGTGGACCGATGAAGCTCCAAGCCTTACGAATAGGGGCGAGTAGAAGTATACGCGAACACGTCAAGCAGTCAGCCCCGGGGCGTGTGTGCTTGTGTGGATGTTCTTTGATTGGAAATCTACCTCGATATCCGGCCCCGACCAAGTGGATAGCCGTCAGAACGCGAACACTCTTTAATCTTAGCAGTGCGCGTGTACATTTTTTTATCCCATTTGTTCTGGGAGTGAGTTTTCTCACCTTTCGGTTGTTTCAACTGGGGCCACACAGGAGGAAGGCCACACCTAAGCTTGTGTTTTTTTTTCCCTCGTTTCTTCCCCGGTGCTTGTAAATTTTTGCGGCGCGGAGGCTGCGTCCCTAACTGTTTGCATTATGAGTTGTGTAACACCACTACCGTTTGGTTGTTAGCTTTTTCATTCCACGAAAGGCCGCCACGGCAGCTATATAGAGCTTTAGCACAGCCCCCCTAGCGGACCACAACGGGGCGAGTGATCGCACGCCCCCTAGCCTGGGTTTGACAAGAATATTTCCCCGCAATCAAAAGACGGTGTGAACGCGCGAGGGAGAGCAAGCGAGACCTACAAATCAAAACCAAAACTAAAAATCAAAATCGACCTGTGATTGGTCGAAGGCCAAAAATGATGTACGGGGTTTCCGGCAGGGCTTAACTTTTCTTTCCTGTCTTGAATAAACAATCTCGGAGGGCTTTTTAAATCTTGGCAAAACCAAAAATCAAAATCATATTTTTTATTTTCCGGCCAAGAGCCGATTTTGATTTTTTCAACCTTGGTGAATACGGGTCCTCATAGCAACCGTTTTCGGCATGGGCAGCCTCTCGGTAGCGTACCAATCGGGCTGTGAAATTGACTCAGTCCGCGGGGTGTGCGATCCCTCGCGCTTCAACTTTGCCGCATCGCCGGCTAGAACCAGTAAAGTGTTTCGTGGCACACCAGGGGGGGTGAGAATGGTACCCGGTTTCTCCTTCGTCACCGCCGGTGGTGCTTTTGACGGATGCCATCATCCACGGGACTCCCCCTCATCGGATGGGGAGCCTAGCGATGAGGACAAAAGCGCTCACCAAGTTGTACGTGTTTTGTATTGTTGCGTGTGTACCACTGGTTTCCCGCAGCAGTTCGGAGCGACCAACGGCTAGCATCGTAACGGGACGTTCATTGCATGAGCAAAAACCAGGCACACGAAGAAAAGTGAAACAACTCATTACAGCATTTTCTACATGCCACTACACTCGTAGAATTCGCCCCGTACTAGGGCCTTCTACAAACGAAAAATCTTGCTGATATAAAACAATGGGCTGTGCTATTCTCATCAGGTCGGCAACCAAATCTCACCCTACGCGTGGTCCCACGGAGTTCCAGATGTATGTGTCATTCGGCAGTAGACCCCGGAGCTTCTATCCCCCTCGTCCATGATTTCCCATGACCTCGACATCTGTCCCATGAACTCGACACCTGCTCGCGTCTGCTCTGTCGACCAACCCCATGCTCTACTTGCCGATGATGCCAAAGGCAGTCCATCGGATCGGGGATGGGCGTAATTCTTGAGTCTCCACGGACCTCTAGATCTCCAACAACCAGAATGGATGTGGCGTCATAAACGTGCTTAATTGAGTATATGCTGCTGGAACATATCTATCTACCCTTCCGTTACCGTACGATTCCCTTCGAAGCTAATGCTCCCGACGAATTTATCCACCGGTCAACGAAACTGCTTCTATATGGACACAATACCTGTACCTCTTGGTTACCGTTTTATTCTAACCCCCACTAGCAGCAGCAGCAGCTTCTGCCGTAGCAGCGGCGATGACGTCAGCAGATCTCAAAGCTCGGACGGTACGTCGTTAAAAAGCTCCATGAAATCCTCGAACTTCTTCTGCACGGAAGCTTGCGCCTTCATGAAGGCAGCCGCGTCCTTCTCTCTCGCAGGCACGTCCGCCGCCTGCACCTCTTTCTACAAGGCCATGTCGGGGGGGAGGGGGAAGTATGCTCATGTAAATGCATGTCGCAATCGTATTAGACGATTGACCTCGCATCCCTACAACGTCGGGACGGAGCGAAATGCCTAGTTTTCGGGGGCACAGGCTACGTGTCACAGGGGGGGGGGGGGGNGGCGCGTGATTCAGCTCCCAATAAGCTCCCACTAGCACTGCAAGTGCCTGTACCTGACTCTTCGTTCATGGTGTCACACGGTCGCATGAGGACATACACATACGGCTTCCAGGCTTCCAAAATACACATAGGCCAAGGGGTAGGCAATACTAAACTCTTTGGCCAGTACCCCCGCCATCTCCACTTCTCTTCGAATCACGGTGCCCCGACTATTCCACTACTTCATTTTACAACAGGCGGGCGTANGGGGGGGGGGGAGGGGAAACATCGAAATATCCCTCAATCCTTCCCGCGATGGATCATCGTGCACGAGTCAAGGTGTTTGCAGCTCTTCTGCCGGCGACACAGTTGTCGAACACGCTCCATATCGACAGCTGCAACGCCGATGGTTTGGACGCGGACATAGGAGAGGCAACCAATGTCTCATCTACCCAGCGTTTCCCGCAAAAATGTGGTGGGCATCTGTGTAACCTGGCGCGCGCATTCATCTGGACACGGCAGCAAGAGCTGGCCCCAAGACATCAACTCGAATAAGGGAGGTTACGGCGGCGCGTGTAGAGCTCGATGCGGAAAGAACCACAGACACTAGAGTATTGGGTCCTTCACTGCACTTCCGAAGCAGGACATTTTGCCCCCCGTGTCCGCTGGAACCATTTGATGCTTAGAAATCGTCTTCGTTCGTGTTTTGTATCCCGCCACAAGACTGACGTCTTGTCATTGGTCAGCCGGCCGGTCATCGCGGTCGATGCAAACAATCAACACAAACCTGGATGCTCCGCACGAGGGCGAGGGCGGACTTCTTCTTGTCCGGCGGGAACGTGCCCGCGAGGTACTCGAGTTCCCCGCCGAGCTGATACACCTTGCGGAGGAAGAGGGCCACGTTCTTCCACTCGTCGGCGGTCACGTCCGCGCCCTGGCTCTCGATCGACTTGCCCAGGGCCGCCCAGTCCTTCTGCACCTTGACGAGGTTGGAGAATTGCCGCGCCCCGTCCGGCAGCCCCCCTTCTCCTACGCCTACCTCGGCCGAGGCAAACTCCGGTCCCTGCTCCATTGGGTCGTGAAAATAAAAAATAAGTCATGGGTGGGCACCGCTGCGCGGCGGCGGGGTCTTGAAGAGATCGGCGGTGGAGGATCGCATTCCCAGCACCCCCTACCCTCAGGAGAGCGAGCCTCAAGGCGACGACGCGTTCGGGAAGTGGATGCACTCACGTACCATGTACCGTGGGTATTGCGAGGAGGGTACGTGTCGGTTGCTGACTTGCCAGGCAACTGAACATCAGCACGTGACGATCTCGAAAGGGCGGTACGCTGTTACTTGTACCGTTTGGTGCTTGTCTGCACGAACCGCGGTGAAAAGCTTCGCACGTAACACAGATCGAGAGCTAGCTCACTTGCGTGTATGTTCCACCGATCACCATGGAGCAAACATACACCCGTCACGTATGTCCTTTGGATCACCATGGAGCAAACATACCCCGATCACGTGTGTCCTTCACATCACCATGGAGCGAACATACCCCGATCACCAATATCCTTCAGATCACCATGGAGCGAACGTACCCCGATCATCTATGTCCTGCAGATCAACAGGGACACAACCCTCAAAAGAGGTGGCTCGATCTGTAGGGATCTGATCCGTCCTATGAATGAAAGCCTTGCATCGGAAACCATGTGTGCGTTCATGCTGAGCACGACCAACACGCCTGGACCTGTCGTGCCGGCACAAGCCGTGTAACGTTTGTGTCGTCGCAAGGTGCCAAAAAACACACAAGCGTATCTTGAGTGCACTCCGGCCTGACTTGACTGACCCTCACACCTGTGATACCGCCACCGCGCCCGTGATGGCAACTCCTAGCATTCTACCGGCCCATTCGCCTCGCGATATCCCGCCGCCGTCACTCGGCAGGGCGCCAGTCGTCATCCTGGTGGCCCTGCAGGGAGAACGTAAACGAAGAAACGGTTCACACGCGAGGAAAACGAAGGAAGTCGGCCGTCGTCCACCAGAAAAAGACACAGGCCCCGCGGTTCGGGGGGACACCTTTCTCTCGACGAGCGGGCTGGCGTACAGGAACGACGGGATTGAAGGACGATGAGCTTGAGGCGCTGAAGCTGCCCTGCCCACTACAAAGCTTCAAAGGAAGCACGCACGAACGCGGTGCGCCCACTGGTTGCCAAGTCAAAGACAGGTACACCCCCACCACCGAAACCAAACACATCACAAGCATTGTCACAGCGGCTCGCTCAATACAGTTGTGGAGCAGCTGCATCCATGCCCCATACACACGCAGTTGACAAAGTTGACAGCAGCCAACCTCGCGAAAAAACCCGAATCATCGTGAATATAAGCGCATTTTCATGTCAGTCCTTCTTCACAGCTAGTAGGATCAAACAACAGTGGCATCACTTCCCGCGGCGGTTGTATCCACTCCCTCCCTCACGTTCAAGTCCGGTGCCTCAAAAATTCTTCGTGGGGCTTGAGACGTTCTGGTACTCGATGGTGGCATTGACGTCTGTTTATTTCCATACATCCATGTCTCCTCCAATCGCATCACAACAATGGTCGACTGCGAAACGCTGCTAGCGAACAAGATTGCTCACTTAATGGGAGCGCTCTCGGCTGCTCTTCCCCTGTGACCCCCCGGATCATACCCGACCCTTGTGATCCAGCAGCCACCACTTTCCACCAATCTCATGTACCGGCATGCCGTCTTTGGATTCTTGATTCTTCAAACACGTTTTGGCATGATTGCCGACAAAGAGTTTCCCAAAAGAGACATTCCCCCCCGCCCCACCCCCCATCGAAACGGCAAATTTCAAGTGCCGAAAACCGAAAACCACTCCTACCGAATCGAAACGGTGGAGAACATGTATCCATTGGACAAATGTCCACATGCCGAAGACGAGGAACTCCCCTATCGATAAGCCCGGGCAGTTTCGGTGAGTGTGGCCAAACTGTGGCAGTTGTTACATTCGACCAAGGAGGAAACCATTTATTCATCGGACACATTCACCGGGTGCCCCGGCTAATCGATTGAGGCTTTCTTCCCCTTTGGCTTGCGGATATGCGTCGTACAAACAGTTGGTAGGGGGCTTTTGGCATGCGGGTATGTGTCGCCTTGCTCTCTGTTTGATATGCTATTGTACCACTGTTAAGATTTAGAAGTGTTGTTCGGCACTCCAAAAGAACATCAATCTTCAACGCCTGAGGGAAGAGAGTGCTACAACTTCCCCGCAAAACAAACCGAAGGCAAGCACCGCAGGAGGGTTGGAGGGAGAACCCATCTTGTGTGACTAATGTACGAATTGGAGCAGCTGCAGCCGTAGATAGAAAAAAAAGTCGAAATACTCATGTAGCTCCAAGCACCGGCACTGCGAACGAGCTTGAGGTCATCACATACAGGAACGTTGGGCTCAAGTCACATTGAAAGTGAGAGATTCAACGTGGCCGATACCTGATGCTCCTAGTTGTGTCCACCCGGTGCGAAGTTATGTTCCGGGCGTGGAACGTAAGAGTCCTGTACTCCCTGTCGCCTTCAAGCTTTGGCAGTCTCTCTCTCCTGGTCGCTGCACGCAATGATCTATACACACAGGGGGGAAACACTCCCTTTCCACGAACAATCGACAATTAAAGCGAGGCAACTGCGATCCAAACCTGCTTCTGCTAGAAGGGTCTGGCCCTACTCCTGCTGCTGCTGCTGCTCTTGCTGCCGGAGCATGTTGTTTTCGTACGAACGAGATTGCGCCGCAATTTGCCGGTGCTGCTGACGCGATAGCATGGGGACGAAGCACGAAGCTGTGGACTCCCGACGCTGCAACACGTAGAAGAAAGACCAACGAGGATACGGCTGCCGACGAGTTTCCGAGCTTCATGAGAGAGCAGGGAGAGATCGGCGCGTGGGGTACGTATGCGTGGGTGTGGCGGTTGTATTGGTTGCATGCTAAGGGGGGATGGGGCTGGTAACCAGCAGTCGCGGGGCCACAACAAGCCACGGTGCCGCTTCGGCACAATACAATAGTGACTTGTGTACTGACTGCGTCGAAGTCGGCCCGACTTTGGCATCCCCATCTATCATCTATCTGCCCTGCTCCTCGCCCGTCACAGATCAAACAGGCGGAGGGCGAGCTATGGGCCTACGCGAGAGGCTTCTGACGGCTGCGGTGGCCCTACCGCTGGCCCTGTGGGCCATTTTCCATGACGCCTGGCTGTGCCTTTCCCTGGTTCTAGTGCTACAGGCGGTTTGCGTGCAGGAGGTGGGCGAGCTTCTCCGCAGAACAAGGTGATGGTTGGCCCTTGTGCACGAGGTGGGCCTATCTCTAGCCTCTAATTGTGCCTGCTGTACCCTGGCGGTGTTGCCTGCTACACCCCACCACCTGTACCATGTGCAAGTGCTGCTGCTTGTACGGAGAAAGTACTGCTGTTGTTGTTCTTTGGACAACCAAGGGTGGCAAAGAGACCGAGCAGCCTCAAACGAACAACTGCGTCCCACCGTTGAACACACGCAGGGCCGCTCGAGCAGTAGCTGCCACGGGCGTTGGGGCGGGTTTGCTGGGCAGCACGTTCCTCTTCCACATCATCGCCGAGACGATTTCTCTAATCACCGCGTTCTGTGGCCGCGACGCTGCAGGTGGGCGACATCTGTGAGATGCACTATGTGCTGTAAACAATCCCCCCCACACACGATCAGTAGATCTTCAGAGCAACGATGGTACATTACTAGCGAGGGCTCAAAGGGGAGTTGCAGGGATGGCCGTCATGAACTAGTAGCGTAGTAGCAATGTCCCTCCCGCAAGGTACGGTCGGATAGAAAGCCAGCCTGTAGGGTAGACTACCGTACATACAGCAGCATGAAGTTTTCGTTGGTCAACCGGCTAGCCCGGTCGATGCTGACTCAAACCTGCTCTCAACATTGCCCTGATTGCGCGTTCGCGGTTAAATATGCACCTGTAGGGATCGCGATGTGCGTCGGTATGGCTTTAATTGTGGCCCGCCGCCTGGTGCTCATGCGTGACCACTGGGCTGCTTCGAACCTATCCGCGGAGAAACCGGTTTGGGTTGGCGGGAGGGGCGGTGATGGTGGGGAAGGGGATGGCGCTGGGGTGATGGAGGCTGGAGTTTTCCTGCTGGCCCTCGAAATTTCTGCGATGCTTTGGCTGGTCTGTGGCTGCTCCTCACTTGTAGCGCTTCGATTCAGGTGCTGCCTGTGGTTGTGTTGCTATTTTTTTACTCATACTTACGGAAGATTAAGATTGGATTGATTCTCTACCCTTGCTGCGACAGACTTCACAGTTTTACACCACGTCTTCCCAGATCGCAGCAATTTTTTTCCTCTCCCGGCGCACCACCGGCCAGCAATCGAAGGTCGCCGGTTGTTTTCAATGCCGCGGTCCTTTCCACGCACCCCTAGGACAAATTACATGAATACAGAGTACATTCGGCGGTCCTCTGTCGCTGTGATCTGTTCGACAGCATGCTGCGTGTCTGCCTCTGCCAATAGTACAGTAGTGCTCCCGCTGGCGCTGCGATCACTTATTTTTGTTGCACCTCGTACACTGTCTTCGCATCACTCCAGCCACAAAAGCTGTCATCCCCGCGCGCAAGCGACGTGCGTAGTCAATCGTTCGCTGAGATTCATATTCGTCAACCATGTGTGTGCATGTGCAGTGATCAGCGCGCACGACCTTCATCCGTTTGACGCTTGGCTCCCCATAGTTATTTTCGGGGGTGGAATGGTTGGCAAGGAGCAGAGATGCGGGCAACAACAACGATTTTTCGGGGGGCCGAACAGTTGGCTAAATGGAAAGGTGGATGATTGATTCCACAACCAGCGAGTAGGAAAACACCCATATCTTCGTGCGCCGGCGGCCTCGGCGTGCATTGCGTCGACCCACATGTTTATGTGTGATTGAGTGCGAAAGGCATACTATGTTATTGTTCATATAATAGCTGATGGCAGTCCTCGGTCATGGTGGGACACGGCATGTCGTCTTCTGCCATCTACGTTTGTATTGGTATTGGCGCATGGTGCGTTTTCCGGCTCGTGCGTTTCTGCGACTTGGATTTCTCCACGCAGATACACAGTACCATCTCGACTGGTGTCCGTAGCACAGTTTTCCGCGGTCTTGGCAATCTATGTTGTCTTTTTGGCTTCTCCGTGTTCTTCGATAGGAACATGTCCGGGCATCTGTGCTATTTTTCGTAGTGGTTCTGCACGCAAGAACTGCTGTATCTCACCTCCTGTTTATGTAAGCAAAGGGAATGAGCCTCAACATCTTTCCGACTTCCTTTTTCTTGGACCAAGGGACACCGTCAATGTACATCGTCGAAATTCCCGCGTTGCACACCAACCTCTCGAGTGGCAAATACTTTTCTCGCGTCACACGACACGTCGTCTCTTACGCCCCGCCTTGAACAATATCTCCTCCTAAACCATCACTGAATCTCCTGGAATTTCACGCACCAGATTATTCATCCCTAAAAAGCAAAATATGTTTTGGAATCGCTTCAGAAAGCGTGGCGGATAAAACCGCCGAAAACCTAATAATTTCGAATATATTCCCCCCTTCCGTATTTTTCATTTCCTGATTACGACTGCGACACCGCCTGTGCTTCTTGTCAACAATAACATCCGTCTGAAATGCAGGGGCTCAAGAGGCGCTGCAGATGTTCTTTTCCTCCTGGCGGTTGTGTTTAACTCGGACAACGGAGGGTTGCTGGCGGGTGAGAAGAACACTAAGATATACAGGATCGAGACCGCAATCAGTCTCTGTGTGCAGCACATGTCATCAAAGTCAGCTACACCAGCGATGGAAAGCTTTTGGTATCGTCCGTCTATCGACGCCACCTTGACCCTCCGCCCGGGCGCAAGCGCCTACTACACGCAAGTCACAGCAGCCGTCGTCAGAAGGTAATCCCTTGTTTTTGTTCCCTTTTTTCTGCTTGTCCGATCCGACTGGCCGTACCCTGTCTCGCAGGCTCCATGTACAAGGCTCTTCGACGAAAGCGGCAGCTGCACCTTCCCAGCAGCGAGCTTCTCCAACGACGCAAACGATCGTCTGCGAGTCAAACACCGCCGGCCGCCACTGGTGCCGCCGAGATGACCCCCGGGAAAAAACAGCCAGGTCTCCTCACCGTCGCGAGTCCCGGCAAAACCTGGGTAGGCGTCACTGGATCCATCGCCCTGGGAACGGCCACTGCCCTGACTCTGGAACAGGCTCTTCTCTTTCTGTTGCATGGAACGTTGCTGTCGAAAGTCGGGGAGAGTCTCCCGGGCGAGGAGGAACGAGGGGATGTTTTGTCCGTCGGGGGCATGTCATCCGGGGGCCTCGGCGTTGTAGGGGCTGGCCTTTGCGTCGTGGGCGTCGTGGGGGATTTATGGGAGTCTCTGCTGAAGCGAACGGCGATGGTAAAGGTGAGCCCATGGACACCTGGTCAATCCTCCTTGTGCTTCGTTGCCGTGGGTTAGTGACAAACACACCGAACGGTATGATACGTAACTCGTGTGTGGCTTGACTCAAATGAAAAGGTTCGGTCCACGGCCGCGCAGTTGAGCTGTCTACAGGTCCGGTTCAGTTCCGTTTTTCAGCTCTTATCGGTGTGCATGCCGAAATATCGCCGGTGTGCCTCGCCTAAGAGGGAAAAAGTACGTAGAGACCAGAAGAGAGACGAAGAGGCAGCCAGCCCCAATGGCACGCATAATAGCAATGTGCAAAGGGTACACACAGTACTACTTACATGTCAAATCCCTCTGATATGGGGCACATGCGCTTTGCACATCACCTATGAACTGCCTACTGGTGTATGATCCGAAGGGGAAAAATAGTACCACGTCGGGTGCATCAACACCCTTCGACATGTGCTCAACCCGGCCGCGCGTGCGCGCGAAAGAGCAACGACAGCGCATGCCGTAATCACCTATTGGCCCGGTGCTTGCTGTTGTTGAGGTTGCGGTGTGCGTGGTTCCCAGTATTGGAAGTTGAAGGAGGTGCGCCTGCTATGTGCAATGTTCCGCTCAAAAGGAAACTGTGTTCGTGACTACAGCTCCGATCTTTCCTGTCTATTTCTTGGTACAGAATCAAACTAGACAAAGTTTTCCATTTTTTTTTTTTAAGTCATATATTGATGACGGTCTCGATGAGCCGTTATGGTTTGCATCGATCTGGCGCGTGTAGTGGGTGCCGCATTTTCCCTTCAACGTTTTTGCATCTGACGCTGATAGTATATGCGCTTGGCGATTCCTTTAGCCAGGGATTTGCAGAAAAAATCATTGTGCCAGATTCCACACGTGCATCCTCGTTGCGGATGGTTGTTGTCGGACAGAGGCCTGCACTTGCTCACCACATCGACGCTGCTATACATTGTTTCTCTCTCCTACTGCTGTATCATCCTTGCTGCCGTGATTTATATGTGTACATGCGCGGAAGGTCTTGGAACACAGAGAACAGTTGTGGGAAGTTAAATACAAAGGAGTCAAATGAACCCAGCCATGGAAGGGTTACTTCGTAAAATGCTTCCGTGTTGTGTATTGTAGCGCAACCAGTCGCCCGGATTAAATTGTTGTTTCCCTGTCAACTCGATTCACATGCCGGCCATGGTGTTACCCATCCAGGATTCCGGCACGGTCTTTCCTGGCCACGGGGGCTGCCTGGACCGTCTGGACGGTGTCTTGGCAGCAGCACCGCTATACTTGGCTGTGCTCGCGGCGTTTGGGTTGTCACCAGTAGATGAGCCATAGATGTGGCAGCTGATGTTCGCACACGGTAGCAGTGTTTAACTGGTTTTAACATTACGTGCGACGCAGAATGTCCCTCGCCGCTTACCCACACGTGCATGACCTCCACTCCCGTAGTACCCGGTGTTTTGTTTCGGCGTCATGATGCGGAGGCCACGACTGACAGCTTTCATCGCACAGGTGATGATTCTGAAAAGTTTCCTATTGTCATTTGGTAGCTTGCGCCACGTGATTTCCTGGTCGCCCTCAAGCGGCAAGTGCTCACCGGGAGAAGAACGGTGAATGGCCAAGCGACGTTTTTTTGGAACCACGTACCCAAACGCAACGGCAAACCAACGTCATGTCGAGGAAGAATACGATCAAAGACCTACAGTAGTGGCGTGCAGTAATCCTGCAAGCTGTGGTGTGCCCGAGGATGACTATGGTGAAACGATCCCGTTGTGTTGGTTCCTCCGTCTGTGCCATGGTCGGGCGGTGGAGTGAAAGAGCGTGTTGAATCGAGGTGAAACATTTCATCCGCCTGATCTGATGCGTCCATGATTCTTCTCCTGTTGCTGTCATGTCGTTTGAGACCGCCACCACACTGGCATGTCTTCAGAGCGCACTCGCTGGCCAAGTGACCACACACCACACACATATTTTTGGGCTTGCGGTGAGGTGGATACAATGGTGGTGCACGGTGGAAAGCAAGATCACCCCGGATCGCGGATGAACGCGGAGAAACATTTACCCGTCGACGTCGGATGAGTATGGATCGTGGATCGTGCCAAACTTCTTTCATGCTGTAGACGAAGACTACTGCCTGGGACCGTTACAGCACGGCCATACCTTCAACGCAAAGCCGCTAGCTGTCTTGAGCTTGCTTGCCGCGTGACCAACTGGGCCTCATCTCTTCGGTGTCCGTGATGTTACAAATTGGGCACTCCCCAACAATTCTCGTCAGTACTGTACGATGCGTGTTGATTCGTCTGGTGCACACGTTCATAGTTCGACCGACATACGGCGTGCGGTTGAGGAAGATGGGCGGGGAGGGTAGGTGACGCCCATCTGTATGATCGAGTTGGCACCCAACGAGGCGTGCGCGGGAAGAACCGCTACCGCCGTGTCACATGTGGTCTAGTGAGTAACCTCGCAGCCTGCTACGGGCCAGGTCATGGGGTCGAGTCCCGACAGAGTGATTTTTTTTCTCACTAAATATATCCTGGTCTAGGATGAAAGCGACGGGTTGCAAAGCTCGTTGTTAGTAAACCATAATCGACTTCGTTAGTTGCGAGGGAAGGGCTTCTCGCGATAAAAATACCTCAGGCAGGAACCGCAGGAAGGGGTCCAGCACCCCCTCCTATGTGACCCCAGATGGGTCGTCTAGCTAGTAGAAGTGGAGGATAGGGGCCAGAGGTGCAGACGACAGAATCCGATGATGGGAGAAAAAAATATATATATACCATGGTATATATAGACTATATATGTACCAATCCTCCGCCCTCTCCGTGACCACGCTCTCGCCACTTCGTCTTGATCGCGTATTTTTTTATTCCTTGTTTTAGGGAAAACCATTCGACATCGCACCGATCATTTACTTGCGCTACTCTCGTTTGATGTATCTGTCTTGAAAGGTCGAGCTGTGCCAAAAAGCGGAACCATCCTTGTTTTGCGTCTACACGTCATCGCGAACTCCCTTGCGAATGCGCTTCCGCGTTCCGTCCAGTTGGTGAGCCACCAAGAGTATATACGTGAAAAAATAAATTAAGACACATCGGCGTCATTTGGGGGGGGGGAGTATTCCCATGTATCCCCGGGTTTTCCACCGAGGCATTGGCGCTTCGGGGCGGGAGGGGGGGGGCATATACCCATGTATCCCCGGGTTTTCTGCCGAGGCATCGGTGCTTTGGTGTCCCGTTCTCGCATGGTGTGCATCACCGCTGGTGCTGCTGGCGCTGTGGGGCTATGGAGATCCCCGAGAGGTGGCAGACACCACGCACACTACAGGGTCATCATCGCAATGTTCGCAGGCATACCCCAGGAGCAGCCGCTATAGCCCACCAGTCGCCTGTCCGTGTGGCCGATTGGTCAAGTCCAACGTAGCCCAACACGAAGACCAAGGCTGCGAGTAGGTTTGCGAGACTATGTTCCCTGTTGTGCAGTGCTAGGGGAGGCGGCAAGGGCAAGTTTGCAAGGCAGGTGCTTCAATGTGAAAGCTGGTCAATGACCTGTTCCAATTGCATTAGACTGATTTCGAGCTTTGATCGACACTACATCTCTCCGCCTCCCCCCTCCTCCCCTCCCCGGGGGAGGCCGAGGCCCGCAAGTGCAGTTA